GATGTTGTTTTCAACGTTCACTCAAATAACACATCTAAATAAATGAAATAATGATAATTTATAAGTCATAATGTCATAATAATATTAAAATCAATAATTAATGAAAGACGACATCGGTCAAAATCGAACAAAATCGGTCAAAATCGGTCAAAAAGGGTCAAAATCGGACAAAATTGGTCGACTCGACCGAGTTGGCTGAGTTTGGCCGCCCAGGCCGCCTAGCGGCCAGCCGAGTTTTGGCCAAAACTCCAAGGCTCGGGGCCGCCTAGCGCCTAGGCGGGCGGCTAGGCGGCCGAGTTTTGCAACCTTGATACACACACACATGAAGTATATTCTAAGGTGTCGATTATACGGCTTACAAAGTAAAACCAAAAATAAATTCATAAAGTTTTAGAATTTGTATCATATGCAAAAGATACATGTATCAATCAATCGTGTAATCTTTCTCATATATATTAAATACAATAAAAAAATACAAAAATAGTTGCACTCACAAAAAGGTAGTTGGCCGGACACCATTTCTTATGCCAACATCGTTGGTGCATACATGTATTCAAAATGCATTTTTTTTTTTACACTATAGAGCATACAATGACGTTACAATAACTCGATTTCCCTTTTTACACGTCACTTTTTTTTTTTTTTTTCTCAATACTTGGTTAAGTAAAAGAGTTTTCCTCTCTCTTTTAACACATTATAAGTGGCATAATAAGGTCACTTGTCAAATAGTGGTGAGTGGTGAGGCCGCATTCTTAAGTATAGTGGTGTGAGTGGCTTAGCTTTCAGTTACATCACAAGAAACCCATGTGAATGTTAAGCTTTAATTTGGCTATGAATCTATGCAGATTTCTTTTTCATTTTTAATTTTCAATTATAAAAATATTTTCTATCAAGTACTTTATGATTTAATGTGATTATTACTTTTACTTTTCATAAGAAAAATTTTTATGTTTAAGCGAAAAGGCCCCATTTAACCATCACTAGAAGGCCTTATTCATAATAACTTTACTATATTTATTATGCATTATTTTTATGACTAGTAACTTACCCGTGCGATGCACGGTCATTAAATATGGCCTATTAGTAATTCAAGATTATCGTCGTATAATAGTACTAAAAAAAGATAAAAGCAAATTATAAATTATAAATTATTCAATAACAAATAGATAAATACATTACAAATTGTTGAAAATTTCTTTACATTACAAATAGATAACTCTCCATTCTCCCGATTTACTTATTTTTTGTAATTGTTTTTAATTTCATTAAACATTAGTCTTGATTGCCCCCGATAATGTGTTAATACCTGTTAATGGTCTGGTTTGTTTACGTTTGCCCCCCGATAATTTTTTATGCCAAAATTTTCCTATTTTGCTGTTAGGATAGTTGTAGATCCATATATCTGTTCTAGATGGTGATTAGTTTTTAATAGTCCATGTTGTATATATAACCTTGATTATAGCGTTAATTACTTAGATATGCACTTTCTTTTCAGTTTCATACACATGAACTCTCTGTTCAACTTATTTTAGGGTAAACAAAATGTGTCCCTTAGTAAAATTTCTCGTATCTGTATGTTTCCACTGCAGTTTTTTCATAGATTTTGACTAAAAATCATTTTAAAGGTTCATGCAGATGATGATAGTTCAATTCTGATGCGCTTTGATTTTTAAATAGTGAGTAAGACATGTTGTAATTGTGTATTAAATGCATTTACAATACAGATTCCTCTAAATTAGTTTTCTTGTAATTTAATTACATTTTTAGTGTTTTTAATTTTAAAAGTGTGCTGGTCAGTTCTACATATAATTTGAAAAACTTTTATGGTCATAGTTAGTTTACAGTGTTATTTCAATATATTGAGCGTTATGTTGGGCGTTCTAGATATATTAATTTTCATCGCAAGTAGTTTATATGCATTTGGACATTCAAATTGTGTATCCTGCAAATTTGTGTATTTATATTTTTTTAGAAAAGACTGTAGTAAGAATTCTAGAAACATAGTATAAACACTTGTCTAAAAGTAATAAAGAACATATATAAGACATTGTCCCAAAACTTCAATGATCTCTTAACATGCTGCATTTGGTACTTGTTAATCTGTCATTTCCTGCTTTATGTCTGCTAACTTGTGCATTGTCCTAGTTGAAGCACCTGCAAAAATTACCGTATTAAACTTACCTCTTAATCATGGAAGAGTAATTCCTTGCTCTTGCTGGCCGTTGCTCCCCCATGTAATTGATGGACTTTATAGGTTCTCACCAAGCGCACCCGGATAGCTCTCCGGGTGTGTATAGGACTAACTTGAGATGCAAGAATGTATTGAGAAATAATTTTCACAGATTTTTTTTTTTTGCAGAGTTTGTTTCCTTAGAAAGTTACGTTGGTGAAGAACACTACTGGATTAGTGCATATTTATACTAATTTTTTGAGTAGCAAGTATGCCTCTCCATCAATGCAACGTATAATCAGGGCTGGAAAATGAAAAAATTCAAAGAAATGTATTAATACACATGGAAAGACGCAATATTAGTAATATAATATTATTAGTAATCTAATGACTTTATAACTAAGATTCCTAAAACAGCTGAAACGGTGGAAATAATCACACTGATACAAAATAACTGCAGCTGTGCGGATTCTAAGGAGTATAATAAAAAATAAAGAATTCAAAGAAATGTTAAAACAATTAATACACATATGGAAAGACGCAATATTAGTAATCTAATAGCTGAAACGACCAGATTCTAAAGAGTATAATCAAAAATAATAAAGAATTCAAAGAAATGTTAAAACAATTAATACACATATGGAAAGACACAATATTATTAATCTAATAGCTGAAACGAAGCTGTAATATTTAGGCAGGAAAATGACATGGCAAAAACATTTTGCTATTATATATAGTAAGATAAGATTTTAGACATTTTTATAGTCTATAGAATCTATGTATAATTTTTTTTTTTAAAAAAAAAAGATAAAAACCAATACTCAATAATATAAAGCCAATAATACTTCTCTTTTGTGTGCGTGAAGCTTTGAGCTGGCTAAAAGGAGCCATGGGGTGGTCGATGTTGAGACTGACTCGCAATTGGTTTACCATGCTTTATGTTCAGACTCTTTCAATTATGTTTTTTCTTTAATAATTGATGATATAAAAGAAGTTGCTTCTTCTATGCATGATGTACACTTCTGTTTTGCTAGGCGATCTGCGAATCGTGCTGCCCACATTATTGCTCGGGAAGTCGTTTCTGCGTCAGGTTGCGGGGAGTGGTTCGACAATCCTCATCAATTTCTCATCGATTGTATTTCTTCTGAGTTAATTCATTAAGTTTTTCTCTTCAAAAAAAATACTTCTCTTTTTTTTTTCTTTTTTTTTTTTCTTTCATTTCCCATCAAAGTGAAATTTTAAACTTAATGTAGGGATCTTTTCGTTTTATGCCTATTAGCATGTCTATTGGTGTTCCAAAGCACATTCACCCAAAATCCTGGAGATGAAGATGCGTCATTGATTGATATATAGTGCGACTTATCAAATACATTGAGTCATTTGGGTTTCTTTGTTCTCTCCCCTGAGAGTGATAGCCCCCTTTCACATAGATAAATTCATGAAATTATTCAAAATTTGGAGCGTGAAAAACAATGAGAGTCAGAGTTGAACATTTTATAATATAGGTTAAGGTGCATGTATTAAAAAAGAATTTCAATTTTTATTCTCAACTATAAGTTATTTTATTTTTATTAGTTCTCATTTTTTTTTAACTATTCAACTCTTAATTCAAAATATTACATTATCTATTTGTTTGAAAAATGAGTTATTCCCTTATGGAAATAATTCTTTTTATGAATAGGTCTTGTGTGATGAGACCATTTTATGTGAGACATGTAATTTTAATGTCAAATTTTATTCTCAACTATAAGTTATTTTATTTTTATTAGTTCTCAATTTTAAAAAGTATTCAAGTCTTAATTCAAAATATTTCATTATCTATTTGTTTGAAAAATGACTTGTTCCCTTATAATATAAATAATTTTTGTTTATGAATATGTCTTGAGTGTATTGAGTATATACATACATATGTACATGCATACACATAAATATGTATGTATATTATTTTGGGTATATATTTTTATAAAGTAAGGAGTTAACACCATTAATTCCTATTTTAGCAACAAATATTTTTTCGGATATCAGAACAAGGCTTTCGACTTAATTTAAGATCACTTTTAAGTGGTCAAACATTCTATAATTTTCAACAGTGTACAAGGATGGAGTTATTTGCAGACATATGAGCCCACAAAAGAAAATACAGAGCCTCACAAGCCATGCGTGATGATCACCAGTGTGCCCGGCAGGTGCATCAGGCCTGACAGTTGATTTTTTTTAATTATTCTTTTAATAAAATCAGTTTTATTTATTTATTTTCAATCCCCTCCCATATTCTCTTTTCTAATAAAACTTACAAAATCAAAAACTTAAAAAAAAAAACACTCAACCATTGTGGGCAAATTATGTTGTGCATCCGTATGCACCATGCATGGTGCATTCGGATGCAAAAACGACGTCGTTTTAATAAAACGCGCGTCTCCCCTTAAAAAAAAAAAATCAGGTTCGATTCCCAGCAACAACATATGAATTAAAATTCCATAATTGATGAACTATAATTCCATAATCGATGAACTATAATTCCATAATCTAATCTATGAGCTAAAAATTCCAGAATGAATGAACTAAAATTCCATAATCTATAAACTAAAATTTCAGAATCGATGAACTACAATTCCAGAATCGATGAACTATAATTCCATAATCAATGAACTATAATTCCATAATCTATGAACTAAAATTCCAGAATGAATAAACAATATAATGTTGTTCCTGAGAATCGAACCTGAACTTTTTTAAAAGGGAGACGCGCGTTTTTTAATAAAACGACGTCGTTTTGGCATCCGTATGCACCACGGATGCATAGCATAACGATTGACCATTGTGATGCTCTAATGGCACATCAGTATCACCATCGCTGATCTGTATTCCAGTAGCTCTGCATCTCAGCCCCAGCATCCTATTCCACGTCTGTCCCAACCCCTAACCCCAGCATCCTTTTCTCACGAATGAAACAACAATCTTGGAATCTTCTGTTCAGAGAAGTACTGCGATTAAAAAATTTTAAACTTTTGTTTGTTTGTTTGTTTGTTTTGGTTTAACAAGAAAGAACACTCTTTGTATACAGTTTTCTTTATTTATTTTTTAAAAAAATGTTTTTAATATGGAACAATTGTGTATATATAGACTGAAACCTCGAAATCTTCGCCCCTAGTGAATGGGTATTTTCAATTAATTTCTGAGGAAGGGGGGAAAAAGGTGAAACAGAGGAATGATTCAATTGCATTGCCCGCCCACGACATGGATGCCCACACCACCCACTCCAAGATTCTATCAGATATCTCCTTCTATGAGGTTACCCAATCCCACTCTTCAAATCAGTGTCGAGCATTTAATTAAATGATCAATGCATGCTTAATTATGATCATATGTATGTATATATGTATTTGTATCTTATTGTTGTTTATGTAGGTATTTAAGTATGCTGCTTGACTGGATGGATAGATATTTGAGATTTTGAATTGTGTTCTGTTGTTGAGGTTGTAATTTGTTAATGCATTCGTATGTAGGATATGTGTTTGTGTTTATGTGTGTACATTAAAATTGAGTTTTGAAATATGGATTAGTCAAAAGTTCTGTTTTTTGACTTTGTGAGTTTTATTGGTAGGTTTCTTCCCCTGTATACATGGAGACAAGCCACCCCCACTCCCTTGCCACTTTATGTTATCAGTACCATAGAAATTTAGATGTATTTTTCATTGCATATTTTAATTGGGAAGAAATACTGTGAATATTTTCAGCTTTGCTAGCTCATAAATCCCAAGATTATTATCTTCCTTTATATGGTTATGCTGAAAATACGAGTTCCTATTGATTTGTATTTTGGCTATACTCCCAAGTGTTGCCTCAGACTCTCAGTTGTAAAATTTTAGAAAGCGTTATCTCTTTTTTTTTTTTTTTTTTTTTTTTTTTCCTGCCATATTAATTGAAAAGGATTGGGATAAGGAGTGTTCTATCCTGATAGCCATATATATTTTTCAGAAAGTCGTTGCAATGCCCCTGCCGGTGCTTCCCACCTTCAGCTTTACGGAAGTCTTTCTCACCAATAAGCAACAATGGTGAGTTAGTGTTAACTGATCCATGGTCAGTATGTCATTAATTGCCTATGATTCAAATTGTATTTATTATTGGCACTATTTTCATACTTCCTCAAGATGCTCAGTTTTGTGAATAGTTTTACAAAGGATGTTTAGAAGCTGAGATCCTTGCAAACATGTATCGTATTTCATTCATATGGAACCTCTTTTGAATTAATGTATTTAGATCCTTGCTTTTCTTAATGTGCTCATTTCCGGAGCATCCTATTTGCTACAACGAATATCATTTGGAAAGAATTTTCTATTTTCTCTAACTGTCTTTGGTTACATAGATCCAAATTTACCATTTTTTACATGCATATGTGTGTTGGACAGACTCACTGCATTGCCTTTTTATCATCTATTTTATTTCTACTTAGTCTTTGTAATTATGTTTTACTAGGGACCAATATCAATTATCAGATGAAATGCAGAAAGTTGGATTGCTTGCTGACTAAGAATGCCTTGGGATATTTCAATTCTTTGCTACGGAAAATGGATCTTAATAGTAATTCTCAGGTTTGCAATTTTGCATGCCAGTTGTGTTTCTCTATAGAAACTAGTTTAGTTAAGTCATCCACTCTCTGGCTTAGGGTTTTAAGACTTAAAATTCTATCTGCTCGTATTCCAACTCTCCTTACTAAGAAAATTCTGTTGTATTGTGAAATTTTGATATATATTATTATTAGTATCTATTGGGATGACTATTGATATATATTTGTATTCCAAAAGCACAGGGCTCCCCCGTAAGACACATAGTAGCAGCATTGCCATCATATTTCGCCTGTAGATTGATACAACTAGATTCTATGAATATGAAGACAACCGTATTCCGAGAACTATTCTTCTATGCGATTAAAGCATTTGGTGCACAGAGTTTGCCTTTTGCTTGTATATCTAATTCCTTGAACAAACCAACACCTCTTGGATTGGAAGTGTCCTTGCCTTCATTGAAAGATATCAAATGGAGTTTTTCACGGCTAATATATTTATTCAACATACAACTTGAGAAAAATGTTGCCATGTAAGTGAGAAAATGTCTAATTCCATCACCTTTCCTCTTTCACACGTAACATGATTTATAATCTTTCTATTTGCTTTTGCATGCTTTAAACTAAGTACCATCTTGCTATTCTTGTTTTTAATAATAAGGTGAATGATCTGCTGTGGATTTATGCAGGTTTTTTGTTGTGCTTCTTGTTTCATGCTTTGTATTTGTTCTGATTGGTGGCTTCCTCTTCTTTAAGTTCAGGTATGCAATTTCAGTCAAACCTTAGTAGTCATGGATATAGGTTATTAACTTGTATGTGTGGGTGTCAATGCGGACCGTCCCGCCCACCGTGGGTTTTTTTATTCACGGGCCTTTGCGGGCTAGGATTATGCAACCCTAGCCCGCCTCATGCGGGCTTGCGGGTCAGTCCGGGGGCCAACTTCCAAATTTAAAAAAAAAATTATTATGCTATTATTCTATATATATATATATTCTAATAATTTAACCTAAATAATATTAGAATTTTTTCGTGTTTATAAATTAAACTATTTTAATTTTTTTATGTTTTTAATGTTTAGAATATATATATATTCTTGAGAAGCCCGTGGGTTGACCTGCGGCCCGTGTGGGCTAACCCGTGTAGCCAGCCAACCTGTGCAGGCCAAAGCCCGTGAGGCCCACATTTTCGCGGGCCAAAATTTCTAGGCCCTAACCCGCGGGCTTCGACCCACCTTGACACCCCTACTTGTATGTATATGCTATGTATGTGTAAAGTTTTGAAGGGTTCTAACTTCTAAGTGGCTTAAGTGTCCTACACAGAACCCATCAAACCCTTTCCACAGTAACTTAGCTGGTTGTTAACTTGTTACATTGAATATTTAAGCAGCTACTTTCAATGCATGTCTTTGTTGACTTCAAAATTTGCCCATGGAGAAATGCAGGACCAATGCACATTCTCTTGAGGATTGCTTTTGGGAGGCCTGGGCATGCCTGTGTTCATCATCTACTCATCTAAAAGTATGACACATCATTGTCATTTCATGTTTTTACTTGATAGAATGTAATCTTCTTAATGCCAAAACAATGTTCAAGTCAATTATTATTACTAAACAATCTCCCCATTTACTGCAGCAAAGAACACGGATTGAACGTGTGATTGGCTTTGTGCTCGCTATATGGGGCATTTTGTTCTATTCTCGCCTGCTAAGCACCATGACAGAACAGTTCAGGGTTAGGTCTTGAAAGATGCTATATTTTGCTGAAGTAAATATTACGCAGCATTCCCCTGACAAGCCTTTTTGGACAGGATAACATGCACAGACTTAGAGAGGGGGCACAGATGCAAGTTTTGGAAACTGATCATATTATTGTTTGTGGAGTTAATAGTCGTCTGATGTTCGTACTAAAACAGCTAAATAAGTATCATGAGTTCGCTGTTCGCTTAGGTACAGCTACAGCTAGGTAATAATTTTGCATATATTTTCATACTATGACAAGTTTTAACAGTGCCATGTGTGACTGTGGATTATATTTTCTTGCAGACGACAGAGGATCCTTCTTTTGTCTGATCTTCCTAGAAGGCAGATGGACAAAATGGCTGACACCATGGCAAAAGATCTCAAACATATTGATGTTCTTTCAAAAAGGTAATTTATAAACTTTTGTTGATAAGTACTTTTATTCCATCAACTAGAGGCCTAGAGCTGAATAGCCAAACCACTCCACCAAGTATATGTGGTTGCAAATCTACTGCCCAATTTTCACCCAAAGCGGCAATTTTAAGCCATAGCTGTTAAATGGTTGCTGCCAACTGTTGAAAACCTAATTTTGGGGAAAATACCCATCTGTGGCTACTAAATACCTCATTTATTTTTTACTAAAAAATATATCAACTACTTAAGTCTGAAAAAATATTATTGTAAATACAAAACATTGAATAATTTATTTGGCTTACATACTTCATAAAACTTGTATTATGTGTATTTTTAACATTCATTCATGGCCTTTTGGCGATGGCCAATGCTTACAGCTGATCAGAACTGCATTTTGACCTAGGAGTATGTTCCATCATCTCTAACAATATCCAAAGTTCTTAATCTTTTTAGACTTTTGATCTCAAAATATCATTTTTTTCCTGGTCAAGTTGGTGGTTTTATGAGAAGATCTATAAGTTAGAATTTCAACCTAATCATGGAGAAAGAGGATGACCAGTGTCCAAAAATCTTGAAAATATTTAGGGCATGTCTAAAATTTTCAGAAAATATGGCCAATGATGTGTGTCTTTTAGGGGTTACCAAAATAACCGCAAATATTAGGGTTTTTAATGGCTACTAATGGCTATAGACTGAAATTGCCACTTTGGGCAAATATTGGGGAGTAGATTTGCAAAACCCCCCCCCCCCCCCCCCCCCCCCCCCCACACACACACACACACACACACACCACTCGAGGACTGATTTGCCCATTAAATTATAATTGACGGGCTAATTATTTTGTTCACTGAGTGGCCTTAAAGAAAATTTACTAAGATAGTTTTGACTTGTTCACTCTCATCCAATCCTAAACATGTAAAAATAAATCATACAAACACAAATTATGCTGTAAAATAGTATCAGAACCTGATCAAAGTTTATTTGTCCTGTCAGTTTCTAATGCTCATTTCAAGCTTGCTTTCCACATGTCTTTCTCCATGTATAAATGAAAAAGACGCTTCTTTTTATTATTCCCAGCTCAGTTGCATTTTTCTAACCTTCTTCTTTATGGGAAGAGGGCATGAGGAGGGGAAGTGAGAAAAGGAAGGTATTGGGTTTAACCCAATGCATGATCCTGCTAAGAGGAGCCTTTATTATCTCCACAAGCCACTAGAACCCGCTCATCACTTGTGTGCCAATGAATTTGGATGCTAAGACAGTGATCCTAATTCTGAGCCCAAATACTTGTTCCTTTACTATGTCCAATTTGAGTCTTACTTTGTGACTTTCTGCTGTTACAGTTGCAGTCTAAGTTTGACAAGATCATTTGAAAGAGCAGCAGCTAATAAGGCGCGCGCAATTGTTATATTGCCAACTAAAGGAGATCGGTAAGAATCTTATAGACTTCAGATACCTGAGGTTAACATTTCTTCCTTTCTTATGTTCATATCAGAGATTGCTTGTTATTTGCACTCAATTAGAAATTCTCGTGTCGCTACTTGAATATTCAAAAAGGTCAATTGAGGTTTATTTTTTTGGGTTGAAAAAACTGACAGATAAATGCAACTAGGGTATAGCTGTAGAATAATTCATAAAACTAGCTGCCAACCTGAGATACAAGAATACAAGTATGCTTGGAAAAAATAAAAAAAAATAAAAAATCAGATCCCTTCCTATCAAGTAATGCATCAGAAGTGATGCATCTGATCAACACACCCCTTCCTATCAAGTAATAGCAACTTTTATATTTAAATTAAAGTTCACTGATTTTCAGTTTAATTATTTGAATGCTCTTGATTGGCCTAGGTACGAAATTGATACTGATGCATTTCTATCCGTACTGGCTCTTCAACCTCTTCCAGAAATGGCCTCTGTGCCCACTATAGTTGAGGTATGCCATTGGTAAATGACTACTTTGTTTATCCCATATATCCCTTATCATTAGCAAACAGCTCACTTGTTGCTGCCTTTATTGCATGCAGGTTTCAAGTTCCAACACTTGTGAGCTTTTAAAATCAATTTCAGGATTGAATGTACATCCTGTGCAGAATGTTACATCCAAGTTATTTGTCCAGTGTTCTCGGCAGAAGGGACTTATAAAAATATACAAACATTTGCTTAACTATCGAAGTACTGTGAAAAATATTAATAATATGAACATTCCTTCATATTTCAATAAAGTTTGTCAATATATAATACATTCTAACTTCATAGAGAACCCCCTGCATGTTTGCTGTGAGACTAAGCATGCTGGTTAAAGTTTCATGAATTCCTCCTTAAGTTTCAAGACTATACTGATTTTGTAATCAACTGTATGAAAATAAGACTAAAGAGCACAGTACATACACTGCACTTAGCTTTTTCTATACTTCATTTGTGTTCACTAATTAAGTTTATTTCTCAAGCTAACTTTTTAAGGCTTTGCTGGTTTGTAAACCCATCAGCAATGTTGGAGTTCAGATTTAGCTGTCTATAGTTCCTAGTGAAGTAAATGTATGAGTTACTGAAGGCATTTATGGAGGTTTCATGGACCAGACCATGAGCTCCTAAAGAATTCAACCATTTATGTGTCTGAATTGAAGTGTGATTTAATATTCCATATAAAATGCTTGGTGGTAGATCATTATTTCAAAGTTCACAACTGGAAAATGTGGTGCTTTCGCACTTGAATTTGAAGCCAAATTTCACTCTGGTTCTAACTTTGACTGCTATAATGTTATGTTCAATGATGCATCACCACTATTTATGTTATTATATTAGTGTATTATTCACAATTCAGGTTTTATTAATTATTATCTAGAAGTTCTAATAAAGTGTGCTTCATATTGCAGAGAATGTGTTTAATCTATGCAGTTTCCCTGACCTAGCAGGATTGAGATATAAGCAATTGAGACGTGGCTTTCAAGAGGTAGTTATTCTCCTAAGAACCTTTCTGCATGTTCTTCCTGCATGTTTCAGGCCCTAATGTTTTCTTTTTTAACAATTGATGAACATTGTTTAGGCAGTTGTTTGTGGTCTGTATCGAGGAGGGAAGATATATTTCCACCCAAATGATGATGAAGTATTAGAACAAAGCGATAAGGTATGTACCTATTTGCTGCATATTACTGCTTTATTTTTCTGTCAACCAACACAAAAATAATTCATAGGCCGTTCTGATGTAGATCCCTACACCTTTTGAATTTTCTGACTGTATCTGACCGATTGGTTAGCAATTACTCTTTTGAGAAGAAACAATCTATTTCTTATAGGTCTGCAATTATCTTAGTTGAGATATTTGGATCTTAATATGACAAAACTGATCTCTCAAGTTAAGCAGAGAAACTACAGCAGTTAATACTGTTGAGCATATAACCATTAATGTGTAATCCAACTATCAGCTTAGGCTTTTAGTTGAGATGGAGCACATGCTTCAATTTGATATCAGAGCCAGACCAAAGGTCATGGGTTCGAATCTCTACGTCACCCGATAAGCGACTACGGTCCACGTGTTACCATTAATGTGCAATCCAACTATCAGCTTAGGCTTTTAGTTGAGATGGAGCACATGCTTCAATTAATACCAAATCTGAAACTGGTACCTTTATTTCTGCATAGTTCTTTTATGGACCTCAGGATTACTATCATAAGCTTTATCAGTGAATGTCAAGGAAAATGTGAATTGTGTCATCTATTCATATCTGACATAACCTACTAATACTTGACTCATACAGATTCTGTTTATTGCACCCATACATGGGAAGAAGCATCTACCACTTGATTATTTGAATAGAGAAGAATGCGATTACGGTAAGGATGATTCTGAAAATGTGGAGAAGGATGGTAGATTTACAAATCAAACTATGGACATTAGAAAAGCAAGGCTTGAGAACATCGTGAAACGAACAAGATTTGGTTCTAAGGTCAATGCCTGAGTAACAGTCTACATCTGTCAACACGCATAACAGGTTTTTTGTCTAAATTTTCTTATTGAACGCAGGCATCAGATTTGTCTTTGGGACCAAAAGAGTGCATACTAATGCTGGGATGGCGGCCAGATGTTGTGGAAATGATTGAAGAATATGACAATTACCTGGGTCCTGGCAGTGTATTGGTAGGATCCATTCTTCTTCTAGTAGTCTTTGTTACAATCAAATGGCATGATTGAATTACTTTCTAGCCAAAATTAGTGAGACTCTAGGAATGCATATTGTTAATCATTTTATTACTACTAATATAATCAAGTCCTATGTCATCTTTTTGCAAAATTTGTAGGAAGTCTTGTCCTATGTTCCCTTGGATGACAGAAATAAAGCTAGCAGACTTACTGGTCATGGGAAGCTAAGGAATGTGCAAATTTCTCACAGGGTATTTCCTGATTCAATGTAATAAATTAACACTACTTGTCCAATCATATATTCGAATAGTTCAACAGTTTCTTAAATCTTCAACATTCTGCTGCAGATTGGAAACCCGATGGACTATGACACTCTGAACGACACAATTGTAAGCATTCAAAAATCTTTAAAGAAAGATGAAGATATTACATTCTCCATTGTTGTGATATCTGATCGAGAATGGCTCCTTGGAGGTAACAAAATGAGGTTTTATCCTAAAGTTTTAACAGGTCCATAACAGTACTATACATTTATCTTATATATTTCATCTGTTCAGATCCATCCAAGGGAGACAAGCAATCTGCATACTCTCTTCTCCTTGCTGAAAACATTTGCAATAAACTTGGGGTGAAGGTATCTACAATAAGCTGTTATCATTTTACCTTTCAGAGTCCCACTTTTTATATATATTTTTTTTAAAAAAAGTCTATGCTACTTTTTCAAAACCTCCTCTCAATCTTTTACTAGAAAAGAGTTAGGGTAACAGAAGATATGGAATTTTATGTAATTTTTCTTGTGTATTTGACTATTTGGTGACAATTGGGACATAATCTTGTTTTTAAAGAATAAAGATGTTAGTGACCTACATAGGCTATTGGATTACTTCCAGTTGCTAGGTAATTGGCTTTGTAAATTGGGATAATTCACGTTTCATTTTCCCATGTGCATTTGTTTTAGGTTTCTATAGATTTGATAGTGTCATTTGCTAGTTTTCAGGATTTTTGGTTGAAACTTTATATTTTATGCCATAACCTTTACCATATTATTTAATCTCTGTACTTAATAAAGATTGTGGCCTGGTTCTATAGCATAGAATGAAATTGTAGTTCAGTATATTCTATTCCAGCATCCAAAACACAGCCTAGTTTACATAAAACTCTTATTTTTATGTGTTTTCATGTTAATTATGCTACTAAATGGTTGAAAACTTTGCTTTTGGAGCATTGCAGGTGCAAAACCTAGTTGCAGAAATTGTTGATTCCAAGTTTGGGAAACAGGTATTGTTTTTTCTTATTTCATGCTGCTAACTTATGCTTCTCTTTTCCTTGTTATCAAGCGGGGTTGATTTACTTTATCTGATGCGTGATAGATTACAAGAATCAGGCCGTCCTTAACTTACATTGCGGCGGAGGAAGTAATGAGCCTCGTGACAGCTCAAGGTTCAAAACCATTTCTTTATCACATCTCTTCTTGTAGTGTGTCTGACATTAATGATTGAATTGCTTGTGTTGACAGTTGCAGAAAACTGTGAGTTGGATGAGGTCTGGAAAGACATTTTAGATGCCGATGGGGATGAAATATACATTAAGGTAATAAAGCTTTGTCGTTGTTCTAGATATCTTTCGTGACAGTGAAAGAACTGGATCTCAATATGAACCATCGTGAATTCTTAACATCATAAATAGTTTCATCAAGATTCCTAAAGTATAGACCTCAAACTCATATCTTGATCCGATCATTACAACTTTCCAAAAAATCATATCATTCCCGGATCCTTTATTGACTGACTTATGCTGCTTTTCTTCCCCTTCTAGGATATCCGCCTCTACATGAAGGAAGGGGAGAATCCTTCATTTGCCGAGCTCAGTGAAAGAGCATATTTGCGAAGAGAAGTTGCCATTGGTTATGTCAAGAACAACAAAAACGTAAAGTTTGCACCCACATACACACACACACACATCGTTTTTTTTTTTTTTTTTTTTTTTTTTTTTGGTGCATTTTTTGGCATTTCATTCTGGTGTATTTTCGAACACTGTGTGGTGCATTTATGCATACCTAATGGTGTATGCCGCACTAACCGCACGGGAAGACCTGTTCTCACAGGAACCAAAAAAAAAAAAAAAAAAAATATATATATATATATATATATATATATATATATATATATATATATATATATATATGCTTGTTTGGAGGAGGATACTTACTCTTTAGATCTGAAACTCATATCTTGATCTGATCATTGCAGGTTCTGAACCCAATTCCCAAGTCAGAGCCCCTTAATCTTCAACTTGGTGACTCCCTGATAGTCATATCTGAGCTTGAAGGAGAACAGCCTGTGGTCATTGAAGCAGAGTCTTAAAGTTTTAAACAACTTCACATAGATTCATGTAATCCCAGGAAACTGCCCTTGTTTCTTGAATTATTCTCATCCATTTTATTGATTATTTTCCCCTTAATTTCTAATACATTTTGCCCTTAATTTAAATTTTGTCAATATTTTTATAGTAAATTTAAGTCTGATTCTAAGTAGAAAAGTTCACTTGGCAAAATCCAACCACTTTGGTATACAATTCATCTGTAGCTTTTGAAAAAGAAAAGTTAGTAATAATATTTTTGGTTTCTTATTATATGTTTTTTTCCTCTTGCTATCATTATATGTGGGAATAAAGAGGGCACAAGGAAGAAGGAAGATACAAAATGTGGGTCTCTTTTCTTCTAAATAATATGAAAGAAAGTTTTAATGATAAAACGATGAAGATCAAATAAGTCTTTCTACATTCTATTTTATAGAGTAAATACCTAAAATGGTCCCTCAACTATAGCTAAATTCATAAATTGATCATCGACTTTCAATTTCAACCAATTAAGTCCTTAACTTTGCAATTTTGACACGATTTGGTCCTCCATCTATTTGACCGTTTGTTGACCGCGATCTTTGAAGATATATATGTAGTTTCACGTGCAAAGCTCAAGAGAACGCTCTTGGAGGTGACATCGTTGTTTCGGAGGGGGAAGTGCTTCTCCGCTTGCTGCTTGGGGATCACGAGCTGGTTCAGCTTAGAGAACGCTCTTGGAGGTGACAACGCCGTTTCGGAGGGGGGAAGTGCTTCTCCGCTTGCTGCTTGGGGATCCTGAGCCGGTTCAGCTTGCCTACACCGCTTGGAGTCACAGCTTTCTCGAAGAGCCACTCCAGGGACTTCGGCGATCTATCTATCAAAAGCTATAATCTCTCCGGCATGGGGTGCAGCGCCAGCAATGGATTCAAATGTAACAGTGCGATCTAGAAATGCAACCGGAACCTTAAAAAACCGACGATGGACCATGAAATTACATATATATCCTAAAAAAGTACAGTCAACAAACGGTCAAATAGACAAAGGACCAAATTGTGTTAAAATTGCAAAGTTAAGGACTTAATTGGTTGAATTTAAAAGTCGAGGACCAATTTATAAATTTAGCTATAGTCAAGGGACCATTTTGGGTATTTACTCTATTTTATAATATTATGTGATTTACTATTTATAACATTATATTATGTGATTCACATATTGAAGTTGTAAAAATCTACCAATCGTTCTATTTTGTAAGTAAAATCAAATTTCTTGTTTAAGTAAATGATGATGTAACAATAATGAGAGTTAAGACTAAATTTATATTTAGTCTACAACATTTTCACTTTCAAAATTTGACATTATTGTCATATCATTGTATTTGTAATTAACTCATAATTTTTTTTATTCTCTTTACAATTGCAACTCACTTTCAATAACAATAACAACAACAACAAAATAATTAACAAAAAAAATACACAAATGTAATGATAACAACAACAACAAAATAATTAACAAAAAAAATACACAAATGTAATGAAAGGTAACTCATTGTAGAAGTGTTTACACTCTAATCAACTTAGGGGACCAAATCAATTAGAGGGATGCTTAACATGATTGTATCCCCTTCTTCCAAAATTTAATAATAATTTTTTTTTTAAAAAAACTTATATTAAATGCAATGTTACTTTTTGTTTGTAAAAAAAAAAAAAAAATGTTATAATTGTTTTGTCTTGAGGGCATCCTCAATAGTGAAGGTTTTGGTGTGATTTTTGAGGTGCCAAGTAGAAAAGAAAAGAAGAAAAAAATGAAAAAAAATAAGAAAAATAAATTTCAGACGCAAAGTAAAAAGAAAAAAAAAACAAAAATAAAAACAACACTACAGGACATGCCAACCAGCGCGTGCACTGCACGCGCTAGGCTAGCGTTGTGTCGTGACTTTCCTTTATTTCAGGTGGGTCCCACATTCTAAAAAAACTAAGGTACTTGCAGGGAGAACTTTGCATTTCTCTCTCCGCACCTTCTCTCTTCCAACTCAGTCATATTTGCCTCAAAAATTGTGAAAACCTCACTAATGGGGTTTCTCTAAGAGATTGACAAGGGAGAAGCAATCATGGTAGTTCCTCCCCTCGCTCCCCCACTCAAAGATCGGGTCAAAGACTGAAATAGAAAGCTTTTTCTATGAATTGACAAAAATGAGACGATTTTGAAAGCTTAACTGAAATGGGAAAAGATCATTTGGGATTTGTGTTTGGTGTTAGAAACGCATGTCCCAGAAATCGCCAGTTCCAACTCACATAATACATTAGACGCAAGTGAGCGTCTGAGGTCAACATTTCGAAAAAATAAAAGAAATTACTAAACGCAAGTTCCAAATGATCTTTTTCCATTTCAGTTCGGCTTTCAAAATCGTCCCATTTTTGTCAATTCATGGGAAAAACTTCTCATTTCAGTCTTTGACCCTCAAAGATCAATGATATGAGATACATTTAGATCAACAACATGGTTGCCTCAACTCCCCCATTCATCCAAACCAAATCAAACAAAAAATATATATATATTTTTTAAAAAATTTATTTTATTTTATTTTTTAATAATTGAATAGGCAACCTGCAAAAAAAATAAAAATAAATCAAACAAATTTAGCTGGTAAAGGCTGATTAGACTTTAATTAAATTCGTAGTGGGAATTGAACACTTTGCAGTAGTAGATGGACCTATTTGACACTTCTGTCATTCACTGAAAATAGGTTGCAACTCTATCGACGCCGACTAGTCATCGAGTCCTTATTCCTTGAATAATTCAATTTCATCTTTTGTGTTAGAGCTTACAGTGCATTTTGACTCTTGAGAAAATGTAAAATTTGCATGTTTGACTACATTATTGCTATGCAGTTTGTATTTTTCGCTAGAAATCTAATAACAAAAAAATAAAAAATAAATAAAAAATCACTAGGGTTTCTGCCAAAAACCTTAAAAAAAAAAATCACAGGAGTTTCCGGTGGAAACCAGTGATATAGTTTCCGCCGAAAATCATGCTTTGAATGTTGGCGGGAAATGACCACATTTTTCCCAGTCAACAGAAAATGTTTTTCGTTGACTAGATTTTTCAATTGCATCCAAACACCAAAAACCCATAAAATGATTTCCATAAGTCATTTTCCGGGTTTTCAAACACAACCTTAACAGTGTGCTACAAATTGAATATTCATGCACATAATTTGAAAATGTTAATGGTCAAGAACTAAATGTGATATAAATTAAATATTCATGCACCTAATTTGAACATTTTAATAGTCAATGACTAAAATTGATACATGTATTATAGTTGAGGGACTAAAAATGATATTTTCTTATTTTATTAAAGTGTTTCACATTAAAAATGAGAGAAAAATGAGTTTATAATATTACAAATTTAAATAATTAATCAAATAGATATTGATTTACTTACTGGGGTGTTTATACTACTGACTCTATTACAATGTAGCATTTGTTCATAGCTACTTTCTCAATCAAATGAAGCACAAAAAGATAATATCGCCTAAGCTCAAACCCACAACCTCCCATATAAAGGAGCAACTTGTTGCCATTGAACCGCAAGGTTCTTCTTCTTCTTCTTCTTCTTCTTCTTCTTCTTCTTCTTCTTCTTCTTCTTCTTCTTCTTGCTGTTGCTGCCACCATCATCATAATCTCTAAATTGCAAATTGAAGAGAAAACACTAATTTTTACTGCAAATTGAAGAGGGATGATGTGAAGGTATGCTGCTGAAGGATTAGGGATTAAGGGTTAACATTGCCATTTACCCAATCATTTATTTAGAAAAGTTAGGGTGATCAACGTTTTGTATTTTGGCTGATTGAGCCAATCAATCATTTACCAAATACTAAAAAACAACTTATTAACTAGTCAATCAGTTACTTTTTGGCTGATAAGCCAATAACCAAACACTTCCATTGGTTTAAAAAAATAATAATTTAACTCGTGACAATGCCAACACCACATAATTGTTTATTGGTATACTTACGCCTACAACTCTATGAGCTACATAAAGTCATCAACTAATACATTTTAAGAAGTGAACAAATTTTATCAAGTATCTTGTGGTGTGATGGTATCACTATTACCATTCCAAAAGATGTTGGCATAATGTTGATCAAATACTATAGATAGGTTAGACTGTACTCCGTAATAAAAAAAAAGTGAGAACTTTCTAATATTTGAATTCTCAAACTCTCTTTTAGTAATATCTCAAAAGGTATGTCCTTATTATGCAATTTTAAAACTTGGAGCTACCCGCTGCCCGGTGCCCGCTCCTCGATCAAAACTGGATATCCGAAAACCTATGGAAGGCTGTCACCGTTCCTTTGGCACTTTAGTGTCGGAGTTGTCGACTCTCTCTCTCTCTCTCTCTCTCTCTCTCTCTCTCTCTATAAATATATATATAGATATATAATTTGTTAATATACTTTACAGAAGAATGGTGCATGGTGGGTACGGTAAGCGGAGAGTCTCCGAGAGGAGCAGCCGCCGACCGAAATCACTGGGCGCAGTCCGCGCGGAGAAGAAGTCCAAACCTAAGTCCAAGGCCGTCTCTCTCAAGAACCAAATTCGATCCGTCGAGCGCATGCTCCGCAAAGTACTCTCTCTCTCTCTCTCTCTCTCTCTCTCTCTCTCTCTCTCTCTCTCTCTCCTCTCTCTCTCTCTCTCTCTCTCTCTCTCTCTCTCTCTCTCTCTCTCTCTCTCTCTCTCTCTCTCTATGTAGTGTGTGTTTGTGTTTATGTATATGTTATTGTCTGTATATAGTAGTGTTGTATTCGTTTTTCATTTTGAGTTTATTCATGTCCTGGCAGCTTACTGGATAAGGAATTTGAGGGTAGACTGTAGAGTGTAGAGTAAGAATTCGTCTGAAAAACATTGCTGTTTTTGCAATCCCCTCCCCTCCTGCCCCGTTTTTGCTATAGGAAAAAGGAACTCTAGCTGTTAATTAGGTTTAAGCTGATAAGTGCATCAGTATGGACAGATTGAAATTGATAGAAGGAGAAAAGGGGTATAAACACAGTGAAATTGGGAAGTGAGGTACCAAAATCTCAATGCATGATACTTGAAATGAAAGATTACAGTTTTATATACCAATGGAGTATGCATGAAGGGGTCTC